TAGGATGGCTAGAGAGAGGTTTTGAGTTGGATGTGGGGGAAGGTAAGGAGATGCTGTTCTGGAAAGAGAATTGGGTGGGGATTGGTGAGTTGGCCAACTTGTTCCCTAGATTATATTTATTATCTACAGGTAAAGAAAATGTAATAAGTCAAATGGGCAAATGGAAGAATGGAGAGTGGACTTGGAATTTGAAGTGGAGGCGTGCTCTCCGGGAAGAGGAAGCTATCCAATTACAGAATATGATTAGTAGGTTGAACACCAAATCACTTACCAAGGGAAGAAGGGACGTATGGCACTGGAAACATGATCAAAATGGCATCTACAGTGCAAGTTCAGGTTACCAGACACTATCAAGATCCTTCTCATCCACAAGGGGGGTAATTTTCAACAAGATTTGGAACCCCCACATACCCACAAAGGTCAGTGCATTCAATTGGCTAGTCATACAAGACAGAATTCCATCTAAAGTTAATTTATGGAGGAGGGGTGTATTGAGAGATGTTAGTATGATTATGTGTAAAATGTGTGAGGAGGGTGATGAATCAACAAGGCACCTATTTCTACACTGCCATATAGCTAATATATTGTGGGGAAGATGCTGTTGTTGGTGGGGTGTGGAAGGTGTTCTTGCCGAATTCTGTTCAGAGGCTTTTGTTCAACATGAAGGCTGGTTCAAAGATAAAAGGTCAAAGGAGGGATGGGAGGTGATTTGGTTTGCAGTCATATGGACAATTTGGTTAGCTCGTAATGGAAAAATCTTCAACAATGAGACAGTGGATACAGACCAACTATTTCAATTGATTCAAGCCAGATCATTCATATGGCTCAAGGAGAGAAAAAGGGGACACAAATTTTCCCTCTCAGACTGGTTGCAAGATCCTAGATTGAGCATGAGGAATGGTTAGCAAATTTTCTGAATTGTGTGTTTATGTATGTTTTAAGAAGAAATCAGTCCAAAGTCCTGGCATCTTTTTGGATTTGAGGAAGGGTTGCTGGCTGTATGTTTTCCAGCTGGGATAGGATGCAAAACCCTGTGGTGTGTTTTTGAAGGACTAGATGTGCTATTCTACCATTTAAAAAATTGCAAAGGAGGGCAGAAACCCGACACGGGTGTAGTGTCGACACATAAATTTGGTGTCGACACCATACAGTAAGCATCCAAAATTAGCAAGGACTGTTCGGCTCTCATTAATTTATGTCTTTCAATTTGGAATGTTTATGGGTTTGGAGTACACTTTGTATTCCACTTTTTAATAAATATCACTTTTTTCTGTTCAAAAAAATAAAATAAAATAAAAAGACTATCTTAGCTTTAAATTTTTGTTTATGCTAAACATAAAAGAAAAAGAAAAAAAGAAAAACTTAAAATTGTAGTGTACGTTGAATCATAATTAAAATAATTAAATCTAAATTGTAGGGTGCATTGAATCTATTACTGGTATCTTGAATCTTCTCCTTCTACCTACGGTAAATTCATGTTCTTTGATGTGCCCTTCTACAACCTTTAATATGTTTTGCTGAAGTTCTATATAAGTAGCTAGAATGCTTTTGAGAACCCATCAAACATTACAAAAGGAAACCGTAGTTATATGACTACGATCTTTCCCTGATACACACTTTCATTTTGGTTCACCTTCATCTTTGATTTTATTTTCATCACTTTCAAAATGAAGATTCTGGGTGCAGAGTCTCTTCATCTTGTCTATGCACTCCTGATTTTTCTACCTATGCATACTTCAATTGGATCCAATTCAACAACAGCTGATGATGGAGTTAAGTGCATAGAGAACGAAAGACAAGCTCTTCTTGCATTTAAGCAAGGTCTGGTTGATGAACATGGATGGCTTTCCTCATGGGGCAGTGAAGAAGGGAAAAAGAATTGCTGTGAATGGGAAGGAGTTCAATGTAGCAACACAACTGGGCACATCACTATGCTTAATCTAACCACATATCCAGATTACCGTTATTTTATCTTAAGAGGTAATCTTAGTCCTTCTCTATTTGAGTTGCAGCATTTAATTTATTTAGACCTCAGTGGGAATAATTTCAACTTAAACCACATTCCAGAGTCTATTGGTTCGCTCAACAAAATACGACATCTTGATCTCTATCAGTGTAATTTAAGTGGATCTCTTCCTAGTCAGCTTGCAAACCTCGCAAGTCTGCAATATCTTGATCTTAGCTATAATAACTTCAACAGTGTCCAAAATCTTGGGTGGCTCCCTCGTCTTTCTTACTTGCAAGACCTTGGTCTGAGTGATATCGACTTTAGTACGGTCAACAAGGATGCGCTGCAAGTAATTAATAAGCTTCCTCATCTAACTGGCCTGTCTCTATGTAGATGTAATCTTCGAGATGTCAATCCCCAGTATTTCCCCAAAATTAGTACTTCTAGTACTTCTCTTATTCATCTTCGTCTACGAAGCACCAATTTGACTACTTCTGCATTCCAGTGGTTGTTCAACTTTAGCAAAAGCCTTGTTAGTCTGGACTTGAGTTCTAATCAATTTCGAGGTCCAATTCCAGAAACTTTTAGTTATATGACTCATCTGGAAGACTTATTCCTCGATGATAATCAGTTTGAGGGGGAGATTCCAAAATCCTTTTGGAGTGGTAACTTGTCATCATTGCAATACTTGGGGCTCTCAAACAATAAACTGAGTGGTAATATACCCAAAAGTATGGGATTGCTGTCAAAGCTTGAGGGCTTATCTATTTCTTTCAATTCTTTTAATGGGGTGATCACTGAGGAACACTTCTCAACACTATCTAACTTATGGTACTTGAGCATGTCTTCTAATCATCTGAGCATCAACTTCAGCCATGACTGGATTCCTCCATTCCAGTTGAAATATATTTATCTTGGGTCTTGCAAATTGGGCCCTGATTTTCCAAGCTGGATACAGACCCAAAGGAATTATCGGGTTCTTAATATTTCTGCAACTGGAATTTCAAATAGCATCCCTATCTGGTTTGGCAAGCTGCCTTCTACGGCACGAGTTATAGATCTTTCTTCCAACCAAGTCAGTGGAATTCTTCCAAATTTGTCAAGGAATTTTTCATCTGATTCTCATGCCCTTGGGATAAATTTAAGTGGGAATCATTTGGAGGGTCCTTTACCGTCATTTCCTGCTAATACCACACACATAAACCTCTCAAAAAATAGGTTTAATGGGTCAATTTCTTCTCTCTGTCATATGACTGGTATGTCTCTTGAGTTCCTCGATCTTTCAAGCAATCAACTATCTGGAGAGCTTCCTGATTGTATGATGCATTGGTCAAGTCTGCAAATTTTGAATTTGGCTAACAATCATTTCTTTGGAAAAATTTCAAGCTTTGTGGGATCTCTCTCTTTGATTGAAACGCTTGATTTGCAAAACAACAACCTTTCTGGGAAAATTCCTAACTCTTTAAGGAATTGCAATAAATTGCAATTTCTGGGTTTGAGTAATAATAAATTGTCTGGAAAAATACCAGGTTGGATTGGAGACAAGTCAAATTCACTAAATTTCCTCCTCCTAAAATCCAATCATTTTGTTGGAAAAATCCCATTAGAGATATGCCGATTGACAAATATTTTGTTGCTAGACCTCTCCTGCAACAATCTCTCCGGAGACATACCACGGTGCATTGGTAATCTGATTGCTTTGACCAGAAAGGACATTTCAGCCAAACATCATTTCTTTAACTCTTCACTTGTTCATAATACATATTATGATAGTGAAGGAAGCTATGCTGACAAAGCATCTGTTATATGGAAAGGAATAGAACATCATTATGAAAATCTCACACTTCAGAGGACTATTGATCTTTCAAGCAACAAATTAACAGGAGAGATTCCTGTCCAGATATCAGTTCTCTTGGAATTGGTTCAATTGAACTTATCAAGAAATCAGTTGACGGGATGTATTCCTTCGAACATTGGGCAGATGCGAAAGTTAGAATCACTTGACTTGTCATGGAACCAGCTTTCAGGTCAGCTTCCGCGGAGCGTGTCCCAATTAAATTTTCTCAGCATCTTGAACCTGTCGTACAACAACTTTTCTGGGAGAATCCCATTGGGACCCCAAATACGGACATTTGATGCTTCATCATTTGTCCATAATCCTGCACTCTGTGGGCTTCCTCTAACGCCAACTTGCCCGGGTGATGAAAAATCAGAGAGCAAACCAAAAAACAGAGACATAGCTGAATTCTGGAAATCGTTTAAACCAGGTATGAAACTTGGAGCAGCCATCGGCTTTGTAGGAGTTTTGGCTGTGAAGTTAGATCATCCATGGAAACATCTCTGTTTCATGTTGTTCAACAATGTGAGGGTCCGCCTCAGCAACTTGAAGGACTGCTTTTATTTACTTGTAGCAGCAGTTGGTTTGCTGGTGAGAGAGCATGTATCCAGATTGGGAAGAAATTTGAAGTTGTGCGAGCCATCAGTCTCTCCCTAGAAGTGAGTAAAGGTCGATACACATTTATTCTAATCTTGTATGGCGTCTTCATAACTTGATTATAAAAGGAATAACAAAGCAAATAACCTCTTATTTGTTTTATATCAGGTTCAAGATGTTTCATGTTGCAAAGGGAACTAGGATGTCTTCTCTTCTTTCCGCATCAATAAGTGCAAGATTGTTTCTTCCTTCATTACTAATAGCTGGAACACCCGCTCTGCGGGGTGTAGTGTTTGGCTCAACTTTGAATATTTTGTCATGGCTACAATTATTAGGGATTTGTAGAGAAATGAACATAACACAGTGGAAATTTGAATCATGCCTCACTGTTACTATTAAAAAATAACTCTGAATCACATCTCAACTTTCACAAAAATAAAAATTCTTGAAATGTCTTAAACATGGCACTTAACAAACACATAGGAGTTTTAACAGCACAGTTTTCCAAATTGCAATAATAACCAAAGTTGGCTATCAAATAGTAGTTTTAATAGCATAGCTTCCCCTTTATAAGACATCTACATGCAAGATCAACCCATTTCATTGCTAGCTACCAAAGGAGTTCTAGTGAGCTGATCCCCTTGTTGCTGAAAGATGCTTCCTTTCAATAATGGTGCTTGTCCTGTAAGTCATTCTTTGCTAAAAGAATGTTCTTGAATCAAGTTTTTCAACCAAAAATAAAAATTTAGATTCCTTAAACTGCTTCTCAGCTGCCAATAAAGAAAAAT